AATTAAAAAAAAAGGACGCGGATATTAATTTGTTTTCCCGCGTTTTTGCACAAAGATGTCGGTAACACCTTGCGAGGAATCTACCACCGACTCGGAAAGCAGTTCTACTGAGAAAAGCCGGCGAGAAACTCAACAGTTGCTTCTTTTTTAAAATCTATGCAAATAAATAAAATTGAAATGTCTATTTGTAATGTCAAAATAACAGCTCTTTACTAAAAGCGTATGAAATTATATACGGTACTTATAAAAAAACACATTTTTTTATTTTGTCTGTCTGTTTGTTATAGCGAATCTCCGAAACAGCTAAACTAACTTTCACTGGCAGATAGCTGATGTTATAAGGAGTAACTAAGGCTATTTTTATTTTAGAAAAAAAATTTGGGTTCCGCTCAAAGAAATTTAAAAAAAAACACACCTAGGGACGCGAGCGAAGTGAGGGTAATCGCTAATGTAATAATAATTCCCAATTTATCTATACAAAATTATTGTATCCTGTGTGAGTATCAACTAATAGTAATCGCACAAATTTGTATCAATAAAGTATTCCGTGTCGGAATATGTTTTCCATATTCATATTTTATATCGTCTTACACATATAATCTTTGTTCCCTCCTCATGATATGCCTATTACTCCTCAGCATCTCTGTCACTGGTGCTAGTTACAAACTTCCTCTAATATAGGTACTCATTCCTAACCGTCCATCCTCCATCCTATCCAATTCCACACATCCATCTCAATTCACATCTCTGCCACATGCATTTTTCTTTCATCTGTTTCTTTCGTTGCCAACATTCTGATCCATACATCACGACAGGTCTTTTTACGGTCTTTTAAATTTGCCCCTTGAGCTAGGCCCGAGACCTGTCGCCATTTTATCCAACCTGCATTTATCTTATTTATTACTTCCCGTTTAATCTCGCCGCTTTGAATCAATGAAACGAAATTTTAATAAAATATACTTTCTTTAAAATTTCAGGAATGATAGTTTGATTTCGGAATAGTGTAAGCTAATCCTTTATATAGACTACGGGGCGGTTATCTCGATACGTCACGCCACAGCCAGCTATGCTACGCGGAGACCGTAGGTGGAGCGGTGTCGGCCACTCCGAACAGATAACCTACATACCAACCAACTTTGGCAATTTCTGTTGAAGGTCATGTTATCATACCACTTATGATTGCACTATTCGATGGGATCTTTATTTATTTTTATTTACAAATCATCCTCACTAGTACATAAATGCGAAAGCGTATTAGTCGGTTTGTTGTGTTTTAAAGGTCAAACTGCTAAATCGTCAAAATGAGTTCTTGAGTAGAGTGAAGAGAGTTTTTTTGTGAAATTGCCTCACTATGCAAAACTAATTGTCCTGAAATGTAATGTGGGCACCAACTACTGGCAAGGGCCTAGAATGTAAAAACAGCTATTTCTCTTTAAAAAATAAAAATTAATAAGTATAAAGGATCTTGAAGAAAGAATATGAAATAAAAAATATAAAGCACTAGCATTGCCCGCGGCTCCGCCCGCGTTCAGATGACCAAAAACCAAATTCTTAGGTTTTACATATTAGTATATTCTTACATTGCAGTTTTTGTATTTTTTCATAGAAATGAGACATTTTCCCGCGGTAAAAGTATCCTAGATAACCAGCTATCACCATACCAAATTTCATCAAATCCCTCCAGTGGTTTTTCTGTGATGTGGTAACAGACAGACAGACAGAAGGACAAAAATTCTAAAAAGTATAGATTCGGCCTCTGTATCGATAATAATGTCTATTTCAATAAGATTTTCAAAAAATATTTAATGTACAGATTCGGCATATTTACGATTTTTTTATATGTATAGATAATTTATCTGACAATTTCTTTACAAAAATTATTCCATATTTAAATAAACAATATGAACTAGGTTTATTTAATGATTAATCACTTCATTAAAAGCAATCTGTAAATTTCCGGACAACTGTACAACATCTGTCGACTGTATTTTATATATTTCTTTATTTTTTCTAATCCGATCTAACAGATGTGGATGAAAATTGAAAACATATACAGAACATGTTGACATGAACAGATTAACACACAAAATAACACGAACGAAGCCGTGGACGAACTAAATAAATATTTTAAAAAAAGTCGTAAGGGCTAGAGCATGATAAGTTTCAAATTTTAGGGCACCAAGTATAACGAAAGATGTCGTAATTCTGGTAATTTGGATAGTATTCATCGAATCGAACCAAACTGACATTTCGGGTTGAAGCTGAATGTTATCTTTATAACGTGTTTGATATTATCACGTTTTGGCAAGTTACTTTCGGCTCGCGTCACGTACACTGATAACGATAAGAGTGTTAGATTACTTAAATGTTGCAATTTATATTTAACTAATTGCTTAAAAATGATGATAACATCAATATTTTTCTAAAAATCAAATAACGTAAAATGTTAATTATTGACGAAAATATTCGTTTGGAATACGGGGGTGTCCGGGTGCGCGGCATTGGTTAAAACTAAGTAATTGATGGGTATAATTTACGATAATTTAAACATTACAAAAAAAATAGTAGAAAAGAAATTATAATTGGAATGGCAAGGATTTTTTGGACTAGAATCCTTTGCGCATATTTGATATATTATGACGATCGATTAATTTGAAAATCCAACATATACAAACACTGTAAGTCTGATAAAAAAACATAATAAGAGGTTAAACTACATAATACATATGTCCCATGTCAAACGATTAGATGAAGGACATTTCATCATTTCAAGTCTCGCAACAAGAAAATATTAAAATACGGCTGGATCTGTACCTTTAAAAACATTAGGAGACATCAAGTGTGTACATTATTTAGATTTTTGATTTTTCTTAGACAAATATTTGTATCTAGAAATTGACCGAACAATTTTCAGTTTCTTAAATTTTTATGGTTGGCTTTTTACGTATTTGTACATAAATAAATTGCAGTACAGATAGCATCTGGACAACTATAATAATATTATGTTTGTAATAACGTTAGTTTAGTTTGTAGTACGTAACATTTTTTAAACGATATTAACGTTACTGCAAACAACAACAAACGCTTACCTTCTTATCAACTTCTGTTCCACTATACTTGAAGATGTTCCCACTACTAACTTCTACGAACGTTTCCTTTTTTAGCGTTAATAGTTATAGCATCGGTTTTCAAGTTGAATTTATGTAGTAAAAATCGTGAAAAAATACTCGATTTTTTTTACTACAAACAAAAAAAATGTACTACAAACCACTACTAACGTTCTTCTATAAGAAACAGACGGATATTTTGATTTTTTTATCCAACTTCGGGAGTACTACCGAAATAACTACTAACGAAAAAAATTTCCAACAAACCTAAAAAACGTCGGGCGCCAAGATCGCACAGCCCCTGACTGGCTGGCTTTACGTAAATATATATATATATACGTAAATTAAAATTGCCGATGGTTATACTTATCCACAGAATAAGACTAGGTTATTCGTTATATTTGTGCATGCTTACATTGAATCATAATGTGATATGTAACCCACATAAGCCTTATACCTAGTGGTATTTGGAGAAACTTCACAAGAAACTATAAATTATTTTATAATAAAAACATACACGGGCTTCATCATAGTACCAGTCATTGCCGAGTACTTAATATTAGCTCTTGCCGATGCGATGACCAAGCATTTTCCTGCATCCGTGGAAAAACCCAGATATAATAGATTTAAATTAAGACCAAAATAGACATGATACCATTCTCACTCTGCAACCAGTGCCTTAACCTGCAGGCTGCAGGTACCAGTAATATTCGACCACACCAATTTTAAGCTCAATTAAATATACCTAATACAATGATAAAAAATAGTTATAAAAAGAAAGGAACGTCAAGGAACTTAAAGAGCTCCAATGGACAATATATTCGAAATATCACAGTAAAGTAAAATAGACACAGTGAAAGACTGGCGTATTTTAGGGCTAGGAATTCTATAGGTAATCTCATTAATGTTATAACATTATCATGAATTTGGACATGATATTTAATTTTTTTATATACGAATGTGAGACCTTGTGCTAAGCCTAATTTTTTTTTTGAGCCTAAATTATTAAAATTCTTAGTGACATAAGATTTGGTTTAGTCTGCGGGGCGTAGTCCTGGTTTTGTCAGAAAAAAATATATTCATGTAGTACAGAATACAGAACATTTGAAGGACTCAGATTTTTCTGTCCAACTTTCACAGCCACTCACATCAGCATGGTTTGCTTTTTACTGGCCTGCCCAAAGAGCAAAGAAGGGTTATGTATGTATGTACCTCCGATCCTTTGTTCCCTCGTGATTGCTAAACGGCTTAACCGATTTTGATGATTCCTACGTCATTCGATTCGTCTTGATAACGTGAGTGGCATAGGGTATATATATAACATTAAAAATGAAAATGACAGATCCTAGGCGCCAATTTGTGTGTCGGATTTTTATTTTTGTAAATATATTTTTTATTATATTTGTGAGGATACAAAAATATTCCGAATACTTTTAAGCCTCATCTGTAACGCAATCGTGTATTAATTTCAATTTGAACAACAGCAGCAGAGATCATAGTAGTCACTCAGTTACCCCTCAATATTGACGAAGGTTTCTAATACGTTGTGCGTCTGCGCGTTGACTCGACCCGAAGGACATTGTGTAGCTCAGTGGTAACTACACAGTACACGTAACTATTTACTAATAAAATATAACAAATTTAGCTATCTCGTATTAGTGTTGAAATCATGTAGTAAATATTGATTATTTATACACCTAATGTTCATGCTATTAATATGTATTTCTTTAACCATTATAATGAAAACATGAAAAGTATTTTAAAAATTGTTTTATTTTTAGATGTTATTGGCAATGCGAAATGTATGTATACGATATCTTGTATGCTTCTACTTTTTAATATGAATATAGTTATAAATAATTTATGTAAGTATCGAGAGCAGTAAGTAGGTACCTGAGGAGTCCCTCGCGCTGCACCATGTAGCGGAAGGTCTCCGCGATGCTACCGTTGTGCGCCGACCGCAGCGACTGCATCCGCGTCTGCAACAACGCACATACTATGCTTTCATTTATTTTCTCATCAATTATATTCGTGACAGAAATGGTATCTTAAATAAATTTTTAAATCAAAGTATTTAACATAACAACAGGCTTGCCAAATTGTAAATGTAGCAATTATGCTTTGAACAACGTACTTGAATAAACCTACAATTTCATGACAAAATAAACAGTACTCGAGTCCTGTCATTTTTTACAATGACTAACAAGAAAATCATTAAAAAATTACAGTTTACAAAGAATCTCAAACAATATTTTTTAATCATCGGGCTAAAGCTGACATGTGTGTAATTTGGATATCAAAAGAAAACTGTGATTAATTTACGAATTGACATTGAAAACTTCTATATAAACTTAAAAATGCTAAAAGTATTGCATTTGTTTACAAAGTTTCCAAGATGCAAGGGTTCGTACTATTTTATACAGTAGTCGTAGTTTTGATAGTGGACACGACGGCTTTAGAGGGAGAGATGGCAGAGTTGGCAAGAATGCTTCGGGACAGCTGCTTGGACGAGACCGGGGCCGACATCGCTCTGGTCGACAAGGTGAACAATGGAGCCGATTTGATGCCCGACCCAAAGCTCAAGTGCTATATTAAGTGTGTGATGGAAACCGCAGGGATGTTGTCGGAAGGAACAGTGGACGTGGAGGCGGTCATCGCTGTTCTGCCTCCGGAGCTCCAGAAACATGCAGATATAATGAGAGGATGCGGGACTCAAAAGGGCTCAGATGACTGTGACACTGCCTTCCTAACTCAAACCTGCTGGCAGAAAGGATCTAAAGCCGATTATTTTCTCATATAAAATATTATTATTTGTTGGAGCTTATTGGTTTATAGATTAAAGTATTATCAAACAACATACTTCTTATTAGTGATTAGGAACTGTAATTTTAGGTAAATGTCATTTCACTTTAAATATAAATTAAACAATGCTCAATTGCTAAATATCAATATTATATAATATACGTTTGTAATGCAATTTATTATACCTTAGGTACATATTGAAGTAATAATATGATAATATATTTATAGCAATCTGATTACTAAACAGAGATTTCAGAGTTAATATATTTTCATATAAGTATAAACTATTTTTCTAGACATTCCAAAACAATTTAATAATTAATTCCCTAAGAACAAATATCGCTAGAACTATTGACGACACGTGTGGCCTCAGTTCGCAGTGACCCTACTTGCTGCGCCAGCGGTCGCGGGTACGAGTCTTGCTGGGGGCATTTATTTGCGTGATGAGCACGAATGCTTGTACTCCAGTCATGGGTATTTATAATATGCATGTATTTCAAATTATATATGTGTAGTGTCTGTCTGGTATCCATAACAAGCCTCGTAGCTAACCATGGAACTAGATGGTGTTGTGTGTTAATGTCACAACAAAAAAAAATAAAAAAACTTGCACACTCACATAATGTGTTGTGCACATGACCTATGAAGGAGTTACGTATTTGATACCATATGATGCATAGAAACAATCACATGTAGGAGTAATACAACAACAATGAATGAATTCTGGTCTTGACAGTACAAGTAATCTAGACTTTAGAACTTTAATATCCAATATTTTTGGTTTAGAAAGAATAACAGAGTCTAACAAGTTAAGGAAAATGTGTGAACACAATTTCCTTTTGAATTATGTGATGTTACAGATGAACAGTATGCTTAAGAGTTCAGCCATATTGGACACATGTTATGTCATTAGTACTATCCATACTGCCTTACTAATATCATAAAAGTGAAAGTTTGTGAGTATGGGTGTTTGTTACTCTTTCAAGCCAGAATGGCTGAATAGATCTGGATGAAATTTGGACCAGGGATAGATGTCTGGAATAACACATACATTAATTTTCATCCCGGAAAAATATACGGTTCCAATGGGACAGATTTGATTGTTTTTCTAGAGGTGAACCCAAGACAAGTGAGGGTGTCTCTAGTATACTATAATCATGTTAATTTTAGTCTCAGAATAGAAGATAAAAGTAATTTGCTTATTATTATTTCCATTTGTTGTATGATAAAAATAACTTTTTTTATTTGTTTTTATTTTGGCATATTTATTTAATTCTTATCTTTAACAGAAAAAAAAGAGAATAAAATCATCATGCTAAACAAAGTAAGTTAAACAGTAATCAGTATACATGAATAAAGAGAAAATAAAGTACTATCTAATCTGTAATAATATAAATAATATTTTGTTTTATTATATTTTTAATTATTAATCATCTATTTCAATTCCAAAGTATATACATATTATAATATGGTTCACAATAACTATGTAGTTACAACAAAATCATTGATTTAAATTATTATTAACAAAACAGAATTAAAATTTATTTTGATAACAAATTTAATTTCATAATTTTGTAAAATTAAACAAATATGTTATAGTTATATTTTTATCTTGTCAAATATTGATGCCAAGAATAATTTAATTATAAGATTAATCTAGAAGTATCTAAGAAATTTATCTATAAATGGTTATCATTCAAGTCCCATTTTAAATAATGTACTTCAAGGTCATTCTTGACAGCCCAAATAAGTTTTCAAATACTAAGTTATACAAATGATAAATATATGGAATCATATGTCAAAAATGAAACATTTTTTTATTGATAGTATTTATATATTATGTGTATCTTTCATATAAAATAATTTAACCATTTGGGTATGACACTTGCCAGGTAATTTTAGGATTAGTTGTCTTTACCACAAATATTTCAGTTATTGTTAATTGTTTATTAATTAATATATTATGAAACATAGCAAATTTATTAAAATATGATGTATTTACTTGATGATGATGATTGATGATATATTACTTCATTTAGTATTGGAAATATAGCATGCTTGCTCGTAAAAGATCTCAACAATTATCAAATTATAATTATTTACGAAATTCGATGTAAGGCAGGTTTTTATGTAACCGAAAGAAACAGATTGGTGGCGTAACAAGGCAGCCGACTGAACTATCATTGGCATGATTAGGTTAGGTTGTCAAAGTTTATATTAAAGTGTCTCCTACTCCCGAGCAAGCGAGGACCTTAGCGGAAAGATCTAGCGAGCTTACCTTCACGGAGTCCAGAGGGTACATTACGCAATGCTCCATCACCCCCGCGATCGCTCCGGCGGTCATGTGTGTGATGGAGCTCTGGGTCGGAAGGGTTTCATAGTCCTCAAAGTTCATAATACTCGCAGAATACTAACACTTATTACGAAATTAACACAATTTTTCCTGGGGTTTGAAGGGTTTTATTTTTACCAATATATCAATGTCATTTTCACCACACTATTTTTGTCACAGTCATCTAAAATTTAGAACGAACGAACGAACAATCAAAATTGATTTCGGAAAGTGCGATGTGATTAGCACGCGCGGCAGTCTCTAGTGGGTTACCATCTGCTAAAAAAGATACAGTCTACAGATAGATAACAATTCATTTTTATCACATATGACTGTGTTGCTACAATGAAAAATTTACTCGAACTTAATCAAATGAGGAAGATTTCTCGAAAGGAGGGCGCCACACGTATTGCCTATTTATATTCAGTCTGAGGTTGCAATGTATTGTACCTGGAAATTAGACCAGTTGAAGAAAAAATTGAGAGAGATAGGTGCATTCTGTGGTGGTCCTGGCTGACTGATGGATAAACATACCGCCTAAACCACTTGTCATATAAACTTGAAATTTGGAGGACGTATTTCATAAACGATATAGGCATTTGATAAGAAACTATAAGAATATATTAAAAATTTTAATTAAGGATTGTATAAAACTTTCATTCTTAATATGAAATACATATATAGTGGTGTTTAGCTTTAACATAAAAAATAAGAAATGTATTTATTTCATTTTTTTCGAAACTCATTTCTTAAAGGGATAAAAGGGGATAATAAAGTTTATATGGGCAAAGAATAACTTATGAACAAAATTACTTAAAACTTGATGTTAATGCTCCTCAAGACAATTAAATAAATACATGCTTTAGCATTTTTCGAAATTCAATTCCATTAGGGGGTAAAATGGAGGATGAAATACAAACTGTATCAAACTCCGTAAATAATATGTAAAAAAGTACAAAAAATGAAAATAAATATTCACCTGTAGTCGATTTATGAGGTTTAAAATCACCTTCTGCAAATTGATGTCAACATAACCTTAAATATAAAAATTATGATTACGTCAATTTTGGTCGCCAATTATTGCTTTAGCCCACAATTTCTTTAGTTTTTGTCTTTTGGTAACAAATGATATTCATTTTCTTTGCATCTTGGCACTGCACAATTTGTTATTTTAATTAAATCACTACACAGTATAAAACAAAGTCGCTTCCCTCTGTCTATCTGTCCCTATGTATGCCTAGATCTTTAAAAGTTAAAACTACGCAACAAATTTTGATGCGGTTTTTTTAATAGATAAAGTGATTGAAGATGAAGGTTTATATGCATAATACATGCATATTATAGTACAGAAAAGCCGAGAAATTCAAAGATTTGTATTTCATACTAACCTTTAAAACGTACCTAGGGACGAACCCGTGCGAAGTGAGGGTGAGTCACTAATTATAAATAAAATGAAAAACATCCATCCATGCTGTAAAGCTTTACAATATATTGAGGGTGAGGTCTGAGGACTATAGTAATCGCGACATCTTTTGGGATAATATGGCAAAATTCTTCTCTATTTTTAAAATTATTAAAACAATATTTTTTACGCAAGCATTGTACATAAGCAATTTTAAATTTTAATGAACCACCTGTATGTCACTATGTCTACAGGTCAGGTGGTATGCGTAAATGCATTTTCAAACCCGAAAAAAAATGTTTGGCGGCAATTTAAAAATAAAAATAATTGATTTGGCTTATATACTTTTTGTTAAACGTACTTCGTTAGTTAATGTTGAATATTGTCGGTAGTAAAATAAAAAGTTGAACGAAAAGCTTTCAAACTTACTTATGCATATAAATGTTGTACATACTAACGATCTTCTTATATTACCACAACGACAAAAACATGTAGGAACGGATATCTGCGGACAGAATATTGGGTTGGATAAAGAAGATGCAACAAGAAATACAGCGAGATAATCTAGCACTTTGTTCTCTCTAGATACTTACAGCCCTAAAGATAAGTAGGAACTAGAAAGTATTAACGTTTGATTGAAATCAACACCGTACGGAGTAATCATAATGAACTGCACATGTAATTAAAATGCCGGACTCGTAACCTGAGCAGTTGATAATTGATTCTCTCGGCATGAAGATATCGGCCGTCTTGCATATCGCCTTCGTACTGTATCTCTTTTACAGTAAGTATTGTATAAGTAAAACTTTCTTCTTTTGTCTATTATGGTAATGGATTAGATACCAACTCTGAGAAAATATTTACATACGTAGGTATATATTTATACACCAGACTCACCTTCGCTTCGCTTCTAATTATAATTCTTTAAATTGACATAACTTTTTTATTTATGAGCCGCTTGAAATAAAACAAATACTAAATGTTAAGTGAAGCTAAGCTACCACAAGACATTAGTGAAAACCGCACCCAAATCGGTTAAGTAATTTCTGAGATTAGCGCGCACAACACGCAGACAAAAATTCTAAAAATCATTGGTTTTAGCCCTATTGCGTTAATAAAGATCCTAATTAATAGTTTTTCTCAAATATTTTCCATGTTCAGACATCGGTTACAATTTATAGACTAGCACTATCCGCGGCTCCGCCCTCGTTCAGATCACCAAAAAAGCAAATTCTTAGGTTTTACATATACTAAGTGTACTTTTACAATGCAGTTTTTGTCTTTTTTTCTCAGAAATGAGATATTTACCCGCGGTAAAAAGAATCCTATATGTTGACCCGGATAACGAGCTACATATAGCCATACCAAATTTAATCCAAATCCCTCCAGTGGTTTTTCAACCAACTTCAAAAAGGAGGAGGTTCTCAATTCGACTGTATTTTATTTTTATGTTATGTTTACCTCAGAACTCCGTCATTTATTAACCGATTTGGACAATTTTTGTGTCGTTTGAAAGTGTATACTTCCATATTGGTCCCATTTAAATTTAAAAAAATAATTACCACCCTTAAGGGTAGAAAAATAGCTAATGATGAATTTAACCTACTTCTAATTGTCATATTGACTTAAAACTTTGCAAGTGTTTCTATTTCCGTTGATAGTACAGTGGTTCGGTATTGTTGACCTGATCTGATGGTAAGGCCAGAAGGTGGATAGGTGGAACTCTACAACGGCTAATAGTAGATACTTTGAGTTTGGGCTTATTTTGTTTGATTTGACAAGCCTAACACGTTAGATTCTTACTTTGCTACTACTGTCTACACTAAAAAGGGAAAAATAAAAACTTTTTAACAAAAAAATAAAAACCGATTTCAAACAAAAGCACTAAAAAGTAAAAAATAACTGATTAATAGTTTTCATTTACTATACATACCTAATCAAATATTTTCGAAGTCGGTGTGCTTTGGCTAAGTAATTAAAGCCTACCTATTAAATACATACCTAATTAAATATTTTCGAAATCGGTGCCAGCCCATACAAAGCAAAGCACACCGACTTCGAAAATATTTGATTAGGTATGTATAGTAAATGAAAACTATCAATCAGTTATTTTTTACTTTTTAGTGCTTTTGTTTGAAGTCAATTTTTATTTTTTTGTTAAAAAGTTTTCTCTGATGCGGTAACAGACATACAAACAGACAAAGATTCTAAAAACTATAGATTCGCCCTCTGTATCGATAATAATGTCTATTTCAATAAGATTTTCCAAAAAATATTTAATGTACCGATTCGGCTAAGTTACAATTTTATGTATCGATATGTACCTACAGATATTCGGTTATACGTACGACAGTCGTTGATTCATCGATACATTAAAAAAATTACAATTAAAGGGGATATTTATTTAGAGAGGGACGAGTTCGCTTCCGCTCAGTTCTTCGACGACGCGTCGAAGCACTTCCAGTACATACAGATGGACCTCGTGCACCGCGGGAGCTTCAACAACACGGACTGCTTGCGCGACCTTCTCAACTGTTGGGAGATTATTCAGTAAGAGTCAAATACTTTACAATTTCAATAATAGCATTCAAATGTCGAACACAGATGGGAAGTGATTTTGTGTCACAGAGGTGTTGTTTTATTAAATAGTAAAAGGAAAAAAAAACACCTGCAATGAGAAAATTCTCCTTTATTTTAAACTGTGGTAAAAATTAATATAATTTTAGTGTACATATGTACATTGTACTCGTACCTATGTGTAATGTAAAAGAAGTGTTCTGGTCTCTCAGGCCCGATTACATTTGTTCTCACTGGGTCATATACGAGTCGGTGTGCGGGCTCTCGCGCAATGACTGCGCGGACAAAAGCGGAACTTACGAAAACAGTAGGTATTTGCACACAATATATATACGTATCGTTTAATCCAGCCATACTCAACCTTTTTTTTATAGGGGCCACAAACACGTTTCAGTCATGGTTTGTTTTCCCTTTTTTCTTCAACCAGAACTTCTAGATTGGTATCGTTTTCAAAATCGATGAACTCACCAAACAACTCTGAGTAATTACAATTTAAAACGGAAGCCAACTCTGAGATGCAACTTCAGATGGGCCAATAACAAAGGCCCGGCGGGACGCACGCGGCCCGCGGTGCGCAGGTTGAGTATAGCTGGTTTAATCTATAGTATCAATAAAATAGTCAACTGTTTCACAAAAAAGTAATATTTCGTGATAATTAGTTTATCCACATTCATATTGAATGCATTTCAGGAGACCACGTGCCGCTGTACGAGTCCTTCTGCAAGACAGATCCTACGACGTAACATTAACGCGGAGAGGCACAATTTATATTATTAAAACATTAAAATTTAGTACCTGTTAGATTCTAATACATTTTTATCTTGATAATATTATTAATAATTCAAAAAGAAATTTCTGTTAACTTATTATAAAGGCCTAAAGTTTCGATCAACAATGCTACTGATCGAAGGTCTAATGACTTACCTGCGCTTTGCTCGGGTGCGTTCCCTAGGTAAGTTTTAATTTTTTATTGAAAGGAACCCGAATTCTTTTTCTAAAATAAAAGTACTCTTAGTTACTCCTTACACCATCAGCTATCTGCCATTGAAAAACCCCGTCAAAATCAGTTAAGCCTTAAAAGAATAGCCGGAACAAGCAAAAATATCGACTCAATTTTTAAAAATTGTGTTTTTCTTATACATATTCGGTAGTATACTTTTATATGCATTTAGTAAAAATCTGTTATTTTGACATTACAAACGGATACTTCAATTTTATTTATCTGTATAGTTTTTGATTTGTATAAGTTATTGGAAAACAATGTATTATTTAAATGTTCACAGAATGGGACGGGAGTGATTGTCGAAATAAATAAACTTACACTCGGAAATGCAATTTTTATTACTTAAAAGCATAATCTTCGCTTTAAAAATCACTGACAAAATTGCTCCAACTCGGCGCTCAGCTCGCTCTCGCTTTCGACATATATACGTACGGAAGAGTAATGCGCGCCTTCAATCCTTACGATAAAACTTAAGATAAACAAATTTATAATTTATTAAACTTTTAATTCCACTATGTCTTACTCTTCCATAATACATATATATTTCGATACCAGTCAATATATTTAAGGACAAAATACCGGCAAGTAGATGCCTTACAATTAAGAAGTATACATAAAGCATATTAATTTTACGATTTCTCATATAGTACTTTGTATACTACACGTACACGCGAGGGCGAGGCGAGGCTCCGCTCACACTTGTCGCTCGCAAGTATTCTATACACAAAGCTGTTGTACAAAAAAAAATAATAATATATAGACGTAATTACGGAAAGTCAATATGTTTCATATTCGACGTCAAAACAAGTACAGTAACATACGCGTATAAATATATATTCGTAAATATGAACAACGAACGGTGAATGCCGACCGGCGCCCCCCTCCCCTCCCCTCCCCCTGTCCTTACAATAGTATAATTTGAAATAGCACATAAATATTCTTATCTAAGTCGGCACTCCCCCCTACTCTGGTAACAAATTAGGCATATAGTCCGCGAGTCGACCCCTCCCCCTCACTTTCTCCCCGCACCTGCGCAGTGCTCACTCCCCTCATACTGCAACCGAGATAATATCTGGCGAGAATAAAATTAAAAACAACAAAGTGCCCACACACACGCACACGCACACACGCACACACCTAGGAACATGGGCGCGCCCCGCGGAGCGCCGCGCAGTCTCACTGTTTGTATGTATTGCTCATAATATATATTTATGTACATAATATATATCTACAGAGTCTCAAATGTATGGATGTATGTTTATCACTCTTTACTTTGTTAGCTTTTGGATTTTGATGAAATTTTACAGTATATATATAAAGTTCTATATAAGAATTACACGTCAGTAAATAAGAGTCAGTAATGAATTATGAACTACGCGGGGCGGAAGCGGGAAAGCGCTAGTATTATATATAAATATATATACAGAACATATTATATTTACAGGGTCAATACTAAAAGCTATCGATTTGTTTAATGTGTAATATTAATGTTTGAAATATAATATAGCAAATGTCGGCGCTCCATGGCGCGCTTCCCCGGGGCCCGAGGCTGAAGCCGCGAAGTATGACTCCTACGTACAATCATTATATTTGGTTCCACAGACGCACAAACGCACCTCGCACGCATATATCTATTTTATATATACAACAAGGCATCGATATATTATTATATTAGTTATATCTAGAGTAGTTACTACGTAACTCGCCAACCCCGGGACGCGACGCCCCAGGGGTCAGGGCCTCCTCGCCCCCACAGGAGCGGCCCGGAGCTCTCCACGACACAAACAACAAATTACACGAATATGTGAAAAATTAAATAAAAAACATAAATTACATTGATTATGTAAACAGCTGTCTGTTTTATAAGATTTTACATAAGGAGGTTCGAGGCCGCGAGCGTTTATACAAATATTATTGAATTCAAATACACATGAACCTCTCTACCCGGCGGCTCCCCGAGCCTCGCGCGCCTCGCGCGCTTTTTAAGTGACGTTATTAATATAAATATTTCTTATACATGAGCGTCCCGCCGCCTCGTTTCATCCCATCCCGTCCCGTCTCATTCCTTTCTGTCCGGTCCCAACCCGTTCCGATTCGTCCCGTTAAGTTCCGCTCACATATGCAAAGACAATGTGAATAAAAATTGATAAATCATTTTGCCGACAAACAATCACGTATAATGATGTAGCGCGCCGCGTCACCCGGCGGGGCGGGCGCGGGGCGGGCGCAGGCGCGGAGGAGGGCGCTCAGAAGAGGCGCGCGCGGCGCTTGAGCTCGTTGCGGCGCCACTGCGGCAGGCGGTAGAAGTCCTGGCGCCCGACCTGCAGGATGGCCTCGAACTCCGCGTCCGACAGGTGGCGCTGCGGACCGGCGTCGAGACGATTATGTAAGACGTTATAAAATCATACGTGTACATGTCAAGTGTGCGCTTGATTGTTATTTGTATCAAAAACGACGCATCATTTTAAGTAACATGTATAATTACTTGGGTTTAAATAAAATATTTTAGTACGATATTTTGAAACAAGGTGTACCAGAAAATACTATTAAGTACGGCTGGCTGGACAGCGTACCGTATTCGGATCGATACATTACTGTGAGAAGTTTTTTTTTTAATTTTTCATAATAATATTTTTTGTAAAAGTTACATCTAATTTATTTAAAAAGGAGGAGGAGGATGAATCACCTCTAGGTTGAGGCGGTCGACGTCGGGCGGCAGGCGGTAGTTGGTGATGAGCAGCAGGTGGTAGGGGTATAGCTTGGCGGGCTCGTGCAGCAGGTGCGACGTGGCCATGTTGGGCAGTGAGCGCCGCACGCCGCCGCCGCGCGCGCCCACGCCCACGCCACCCACGCCCACGCCCGCGCCCACGCCCACGCCCGCCGCCGCCGACACTACGCCGCCGCCGCGCACTACCACGCCTCCGTCTGTGGTCTGCGAACATATATGACAACACGACGACATGTACTATGCTATATTTAAATTTAAAACTTCTAATCATATTAGTGCTTCATTTTAATAAAAATAAATAATATAACTTTATTAATGCTTATAATTTGACTTTGGATTTTTTTAACATAAACAATTATATCGTGAATAAGAATCGATAGATAATATTTACCACAGCACTTCTATCCACGTCTGTGATAGAGCCGGCAGAAACTGAAAGTGTTACAAACATTTCATTATTAAACTGCAAAAATGAAAGCGTTAAGAATACTTAAACAAGCTTCATGTTATCCAACCACGATACGTGTAATATCAAAACGATTGTTATTTGTTACACGTTGTGACGTGAAGCGAAGCAATCATGCCGTGAAATATGATCGAAAATAAAGCTCGGCATCGGGTCTCAGCGTGATGGTACGAGATGGTCGCCAAGTGTACTGCGCATCAATGTAAATTACTTAGAATAAAATTTGAAACGCTAAAATTCAGCAATTTTTTACATAAATAAAAATGTCAACGTCCACAGCAATATATGATTTTGGATGTATGTACTGTTAATATATAAATACATGTAATGTGCTATACGTATGTCGGGGGTGGGGTGGGGGAGAAGCTCGACAGCGCTAGGCCCGCCGCTACTTACTGCAGAGGTCCGTCCGCACTGCGCGCACAACATGACAATGCGCCGTTACACTCACACTCAATAAAAACAACAAGACTGTGGACGCCTTATGTTAAACACTTTATACGCTAGCTTTGACTAGAATCACAATTTCAGCTCAGTAGAGTGCAACATTGGCGCTCGAACTGGGGCCAAATAAATAAGTTATTCGAAATCAATATGAAAACTATTTTAAGAACAATTAAAAAATAACCACTTTATTCACTAATAAGAAGAAGATTCCCTCTATATATTTTTTTCTTATAAATAACTAGCGAAAACTAGCTTAAAGGATGATTTCCGGGATAAAAACTATCCTATGTCCTTTCCAGAATTTCAAACTATCTTTTTACTAAACACCTAAATCCGTTCAGTAGTTTCTTAGCTTATTCGGTACAAACAAACAAAAAAATCTTTCCATTTTACAATATTAGCATAGACATTAAAAAAAAAATGAACACAAGAAGTAATAAAGTAGTACAACAGTATAAAAATCCACACAACAGGTGCATACTATGAAATCAAAGGAATGAAAAAATACAAATTTTCATGGTTTCGAAGTTAAAAAGTTCTGCCATTTCGTGACAAGTGACACACCGGCAACCCTAAAGCCGTTTGCCGCCTGTCGTATAAAAGTGAGTCAGGGGCGCCCAGCACATTGCCTGTCTAGATGCCTCCATTAGAGGACTGTGTGAATTAGTAGACTGCGGTAGTGGTACAACAATAGTCGGATAAATATGTGAGTATATACTGACTGTCTGACTTGCCGCTGCTGAAGTCGGTGCTGTGCGTCTTGTCGCAGAGGCCGCTGAACGTGAAGTCGCCCTGCACAGGACACAGGACGAGGGCGTCAGCGTGTGACTGCGGAGCCCTTACTACGAGTTTTTATGATACTCCAAGTTACAATATTTCGAAATTACATATCCTCACCCCATCTAGCACTAAGAAATTTTGAATATTATTAAACTCGTAGTAAGGGCATCGTATATGATATAAACTCTATCTGTCAGGGGATTAATAAAAATCTTATTATCATTGTCATGTCATTTATAAGGGAAATGTTAATTATGTATGATACTACAATAATAATTTAGAACGTAAAAAAATTAAAACATGAATACGTTATTCCTTAGTCGCTATATGAGTAACTATTCGTACTTGCGGATGTATTGCTACAACTGGACTGTTGCGTAACTGTGGAGTAATAAATTAGTCTCATTATCTTAATGGAGCAATACAGCAAGATCTATAATACCTCTATGTGGGAATGTAATAAAACCATTCGGAGAAATCAGTAGTAAATGAACCCGTTCAATAAAATATTGAGGTTTCGTAAATATTACGATAAATGATTGAGTCGTAATAGTCCAATATAATACTCGTCCCGTAGCCGGGCGCGGCGGGTAGAGGGCAGTGGGGACTCACCGCGGTGCTGGAGGAGAAGGTGTGCGAGCGCGCGGCGAGCCCGTAGCCGGGGCGCGGCGCCGCGCGCAGCGACGACACCACTGCAACACTCGCCCGCTACACTCCGCGCTCTCCGCGCTCGCGCCGCCGGGAGCGCGGCACATCGCGACGTCGATACGACCGTATGAAGTGACCGTTGTTATCGATAACATCACACGTGAAAACTACACTTGTTAAAAACGCAACCAGTGCGTATTCAAACTATATAAAACACTCCATACGATTGAATCGACGTAAATAAACGTGTCCCTACCGCGAGCGGAGCAGACCAGGGTATAATGTGTATGGGGTACGTCACCATTCGTCGTGTTCTTATCGGCGGTCACCGAGTCGCCGCTGGCTGTGAGGTTGGGAGCTGAAGGGGATAACGTCGTCGATGTCGATACGTCACATAGGACCCCAAATTAAATATCTGAGTTTGATGGAATGCTTAATAAAAGGTATATGATCCGTGACGAAAGGACATCGAAGACGTCACGTGGTGGATGGTAGACGGTCGACTCACGTTGCAGTGGCGCAGGGCGGCGGGCAGCGTGCTGGAGCGCGCGCCGCGCGCGCCGGCGCCCGCTGCCGACACACGCACGTCACACACTATGCTACTACACTACGCCAACACACGCCGTGCACCGCGCATTCGCCAATTTTATTCAAAATAAATAAATCGCGACAATAAACAATGTCATAAAATATACATCGATTTGAATTAGAAAATGCGTGGTGACGGTGGAATGAGAAAATTTTCACCATGAAATAAGTAACAGTATTTCTATTTAGTTTTCTATTAAAAAAATTGTTTCACAAAACATATGCACTATATTTTATGGTGAGTCTTATTTATCTGTAGAAAGATCTCGCAACCGACAGCGCGCGGCGACGCTCTCACAACATTAGGTGCTTTACAAAGTAAGATAAAAAAGTCAAAGATTAAAAATATACAATACTATACAGCAGGTATACTACTAATCTCATCAGCTCGTCGCCACGTCTGTCTAATTGAATGATCTCCCCGCACTCATGCTAAATAATACCAATACTAATAATTAATTAAATATCGATCAGCAGACAATATAAACGCTGTAAAATATTATAATATGATTCTTTTGCAAATAAAATTCGTCTGTTTCAACATACGAAATTTCCTCCAATAAATTTTATACCAATACAAAGTTTATATTTGCATAAATAAAGAAAATGCTTTTATAATATACTTATAAATATAATAATTATAAAGCCTATTGTTGAAGCGCATGCGTTAAATTGTTAGTATCAATAGTGCAAACCACAGCCATTCCATTATATAACTTAAATGTATACAATATAAAGTCTATTACTGAATAACACTAGTAAATCTCACGAGACAACAAAATATACCACAGGCATACAAAGCCGCTACTAAAACCGCCCAAAAACACAAATACACTAAAATGTAGCATGTAAATATGTACGTTTTAAATAAAACTTCTTTTTTTTTCGCGGTTATATTTTGCTTTTTGTTTCTAGACATTTTAAATGCTTTACAGCACATATGGTTACAGGAGAGAAAAAAGTTTCTAACTACTAAAATATATATAAAATGTACAAAAATAGAAACCTAGTAAGTACCTTACAATTAAAAAAGTAATAGGTAATTTGCACTTCTATAATAACACCACCACCTTTGAGGTGTCAAAAGCTTGTTTCTCCCATGGTTGTGGTGACCATGTTTGCTGTAAGTTTTTCGAAACGTCGAGAAAGACTATATACAACAAGCAAAATAAAACCGCGAATAGATCTGAAAAAATGACATTCGCGTATTCGCTCCCTACAACCACCTATGACTCGATTCCCCGAAGCAAGCGTTATGTAAATTATAAACTACGACAGTCCCACAGCATCGGCCATCGCCGTCTCACCTTGCGTCAGGACCGCTCTCATCGCCTATTCATTGTACACTCACTGTACACTGGTATAACTCCGCTCATTTTTACATTATTTCATCACGTAAATGGTCGTTAAAATTGGCTTTTTTTTTCATTTCTAACATTAAACTTTATCGATAAATATCGTAATGAAATAATACAAACAATTTTGACTCCCAAAAAGTATAACTGGTTAAAGAAACCCCACGTTATGAATAGCGATGATCGACAAAGCCTAGACTACATGTACTGTATTGTTACAATAATGCCTGTACGCTCCGAGTGCACAGGTGGCTGGCACGCGGGGGTCGACACTCTTGAATATATTTAAAATATTTATTAACATATAAGTTGTAGCATTTAAAAAACATTTATGATATAATTATCAATGATAAATGATATATAAATATAAAATCATTATGTCCATCGATCCCCTATCAAATAGCCACCTGTGAAACTTTAGAGAGTGCCGAGAAGCAAAGAATCAGGCATACTTAGAAGCAAGATTGTAAAATATGGTCAGTCTACGCTCTGTCTAGGTCGCTCACAGATCCACATTTCATATAAAATATTGGTATTAACAAAAATAAAAGTAATAAAACCTTTTATTTGGATATTGTTTTGTAAGTAATCAGTACTTTATATTATTATGAAATTGTAATTCAAATGTTTTAATTCAATAAATACAATATTTTACGTGAAATGTAGGTACTTAGAATATATTTAGATAGTTACTTATATAAAATTTATTGTCACTGTAAATTTAAATTAACACAACTATTTTGCCAAATGTATCTTATTAGTGTTAAAGACAATCGTAATTTAAAAAGGTGTCGAGTGGTTACAGTGCTGGGTTAGTTATGTTACTAGTGGGGACGGTCACAGGTTCACCAAAGTACACATTATAAAGCAGCACCGTACTGTATCTGAGGTGTGGCCGTTACACAAAATGTACAAAATACAGAGTTAATATACCCAAATATCACAAGCAATAGTAGAAAAAAAATTATGTTTTATAAAATAATATATATCTAAAATTAGTACTCTCTGTGATCGAATTGTTGACCTCATATATCTATTATAACATAAAATGCTTTCATTCAACCACATTCACCAATCTGTTTACAGTAAATAATTGGCCCAGTAGTCTTTGATCGTTCAATATCCCTTCATGTGGGTCGGTGAATCTCATAGTGTGTCGATGTATCTCAGGATGTATCGGTGTCGGTGTGTGTCGGCCTGTGCGTCGGCATGTGTCGGTGCGTGTCGGCAGTTCGCGCGGGGACTCACCGTTGTAGGAGGGCAGGTGCAGGGGCGCGGCGTCGGGCGCGCGCGCGTGATCGAGCGAGCGCGAGGGCGAGGCGCCCAGCGGCGACGAATAGCGCAGCCGCGCGCCCGCCTCCCGCGCAGCGCTCGGCGTCCTGCGCGTGCGCACACACACAGTTACACAAGTGAACTTTTACAAGCATAAAAACAATATGCTTCATTTAAATACTCCATATCATATAACAAGCTATATATGTACGAGTATGTAAAAGTCAAAGTAGCCATTTCGTGAAACAACTAACTCCAACACGGAATGCAGTTATAGTCTTTATAGAATTCATAAATATTTTTATTTTCGAAAAATGAAGTATTTACTCAACCCGACAGCCTTTTTTAATGTTTTAAAACCAATGCTTGAATGCTTGCTTCCGATGTCATCGCTGTGATCTTTATAAAATATTAACGGGATCATAATTTTGTCTGGGAACGCATTACGAAATTTTTTTGGACGGATTAACGTATAGGATACTTTTTATTGCGGGGAAATATATAATAATTTCTCAGAAATATATACTAACCGTTAAAACGTACATAGAGACGAATCCCAGCATAGGGAAGGAGAATCGCTAGTGTAGTATTATACATAATAAAGAGTATTTTTCTATTTAACACCGGCGGCTTCTATAATTTCTAGGCGTTTGTTATAATTAGAAATCAGTATTAATGTTAAAAAGGCAATAACTACAGTTACGAGGGACGCACCTGCTGGCATTTCTAGGATCGAGATTTTGCTTCTTCCACTGTTCAAGTTTGTCGCGCTCCTGGACCTCCTTGAGGAAGACCTGCGCGATGCCGCTCTCTATCTTGGCGAGCTCCTGCAGCTCGCGGCTGTGAGGGCCGTTGGCGGCGGCGGCGGGGGGCGCGTCCTCGTCGCTGTCCAGGCCGCGGTACGAGTCCGACCAGCGGCGGCGGCGCTCGGGGTCGGAGTACGGGTAGGGCGGCGCGGGGAAGTCGTCGCGCTCGATGCGCGGCTGCGCGCCCGGCGGCGGCTTGTACGCGGACGGGTAGTGCGACAGCTCGATGGGCTCCTCGTTGTTCATGCGCGGCGACTTGGGCCGCGGCGTCTCGGAGCGGATGGAGTCCACGAGCGCGCGCATGCCGGGCCGCGAGGACGCCTTGCTGGCGGCGCGCGAGGACGCGCGCGAGGCGGCCGAGGGCGGGCGGTGGAAGTGTGGCGAGGCGGGCGGGCGGTCGCAGGGCTGCACGCAGCGCCGCAGCGTGGCGGGCTCGCCGGCCAGGTAGCTGTACGTGGTGATGCGGTGCGGCGAGCACGTGTCCTCACGCGACCGGTACTCGCGCAGCGCCAGCCCCGGCGACACCGCGCGGTACCCGTACTGCAACCGACCGACGCACTCTATTATATACTCCAACTCACAAACGAAACAAATCTTCCTTTGTAAAATTTTAAATATTATTTTTTTAGAATTTTTAACCCTTAAGTGAATACTTAAGATCTAAATAGATTTTTCCTAAAAATTACTTTTCTATAAGATATCAACAGTCAAAAGCAGTGGTAGCCCAGTGGTAACGCGCTCGCTTGGGAAACCGAGTGATGTGGGTTCAAATCCCGGGTCTCGCACCTCTGATATTTTTATGTGCGAATCATTTCTAGCATGATTACCACTTGCCTTACGGTGAAGGAAAACATCGTGAGGAAACCTGCATGTCTGAGGGAACTTAGCAAGTTTTCAAAAGATATGTGAAGTCCGCCAACCCGCACTTGGCCAGCGTGGTGGACTATGGCCTGATTCCTCTCGTATTGAAGGGAGGCCCGTGCCCAGCAGTTGGACGTTAAAAAGGGCTGAATACAATACATTACAAGATATCAACACATTCACGTTATAAATGCATGCGTGCGATATGATGGTAGAATGTTGATAAAAAACTTTTTACTGAATCAGGACATTATTAAATAATAAAGAAACACTTTCAAACAGATAAATTCTGATATGATTAATTTGTAAATTATACAGTGATTTAAAAAACGACTAAAATAATAGTAAAACTTAATTGAACAACGATTTAAAAAAAGGACCGCTTAAATAAAAACAAAATTATAGAAATATCTGTTTGAGCACACACAAATAAGAAATAAATGTAATAAATAAAAATAGCAAATAAAAACACGGACCTTCCTGGTCAAGCTACTGTAGGGGCTGCAGTAGGAGCCGTTGACGCTGGGCGTGCGCGAGCGCAGCGAGAACTGCACAACATCAACAACGGTCAGACACGCCGACCACACCCGACAACGGCCGACAAGTGCCTTCAATACGCTAAGTACAATGGGTCTTGACGGTGTAAAGTAACAATACGAATTTTTTATGCGAAATTAGACATTTTTTCGTATGTTAAATATTTTTTTGTTAATATTATGTTCAACAAAACTGCGACAACATATCTCATATGTCTGCAAAGTGAATAAAACCAAATATAGAAGCCTATTTTTATTGTTACTTTATACCGTCAAGCGTTGAGCAAAACAGGCAATAAATAAAATAAAACAAATAATAAATCTAAAATTAAGTTGCTATAAGACTTGCTAACACGTCACGCCGCACGGGGACATGCAGTCTTTGGTGAAGGGGGGTAAACAAATCGTTTATTTTAATAACCATTTTTAATTAAATCGCGATTAATAATGAAATAGGAAGCATTCCCATTCAGGTAAAATACATATTTACAGTATATTATGATCTTATAAGTAATAACAGGTAATACTAAAACGTAAAACTTTTTGGTATCTAAAGATCTTAAAATATTTTTTATATCTTTCAATATTAAGGACATACATAATGTTTGCTTATTGTTAATGTTAAACCAATGTTTCGACCAATTCTAAGGAACGTATCAAACAACCTGCAGCTCGGAGGAGGCGCGCTCGAGGTCGAGCGGCGCGTGCGGCGCGGGCCCGCAGCGCGGGTGCCAGATGGCGGCGCCCTGCAGGAACATCTCCTCGCCGTCGCCGAAGGGGTCGCCGCACTTGCTGCAGCGCGCGCACGTAGGGTGGAAGTGGTGGTTCTCGCCCGCCTTTAACCGACCGTATATTGCGTTCAAACGACGTTAGCTTACAGTTACTCTTATTTTAAAGGCACAAGTTAATTTTATTAGACACTAGCTGGCCCGCGTTATTCTGCCCGAATATAGATAGACTTTGAGATCTTTCATTTTATGCAAAAATCCTATAGAAAAAAGCACTTTCAGTTTTTCCCACCCAGTTTTCGGAGCAAATTATTCACATTTTTCCCCTCCCCTTCTGCGAACTTTTGAATATAATTTTAAAAAGAAATTTGTCAAATTGCCCTTCTCAAGTAAAGCGCTTACCGACTGTTAGCATTTCATTTTTATTTTAACACTGGTTGATGGCAACAAAATAAATACTTCTTCGGTCTTACAATCAGTTGAAGCATACAAATATCTGAATCTTTTAAGTGCATACATATTATTTGTCTTGATGCTTTTACATTATATACCTACCTATGTTTGTCATTTTAAATATTAGTAGATTAATTGAACTTCTTATTTATTTTAACATCAACTTGTTTATCTTATTACAATTTAGATACTCCTTTGACAGTACATATATTCTACTTTCATCTTCTAAAAAACTCTTTCTGATTTTTTTAAATAAAACTATCTTTTCGGATTATTTCGCGAATTTATTGTGATATTTGGTTCCCGACGTTTCTGATTTTATCTCCGCTCGATTGATATGAACAAAACATAATTATTATGCTTAAAGCAATACAAAAACCCTACATAATAAAGTTCTCACTACAAGATTTACGATCGATCTATCAAATATAACTTTAAAAAGAAATAATATCGAGAAACAAAATCTGCTATTTAAAAATAGTATACGCAAAGCGCAATTAGGACTTGGTTAGCTAGACAGTTGGGAGATTAACAGATAGCGGTTCAATGAAAACGCATCGCACAACGCAACGAATGCGAGTGGAGGCGCTTTGTTGTCGCCACAATGAAACCGGCATTGCTTATGTTGTATTCTATTTTGATCTTTAACACTATGGGTATAAAGTATATTTTAACATAGTGTATGGGAGACAGAATATTGATTTGGTACAGTTAGCAATACAATGCGAATGCGTGTTCTGATTCATCGGTTGCAGCTGCGGCGGGCGCCGACCATTTGGGGAATCTCTTCCAAGTTACTTATCAATTTGCTACTAATTGCTTGTTATGGCGAACTGCCCAGTTGACAGCACTTTAGATAAAATAGGAAGCTTTGTTCTAGATTTTGTTTTCTTTATTAACTTACTAAGTGTAGAATTGGACAATTAGAAGCATATATTATGATGAATCACTATTATGTAAAATATAAAGATACTGTCCAAAGTTAAACTAATATTTTAATTTAATCAAACATGCTATCTATGAAAAGAAAAGTATAACAAAAAGATTTTCCAGACTATACAAAATATGCCAAAACGTTGACCTAATTTATTTATTCTATGGGAAATTTTAGCTACAAGTCCGGGTGAGTTTTGATGTACGAGCTGTCTCCGAGGTTTTGCAAATAACTCGCGAGCGACAAATTGTCAGTCTATCGTGATGAATAAGACACGATCATGTTACAATAAATATTTAGATAACTTTAAAATAGACTTTCATGAACACTTTTGAACTCGGAAGACAAAATAATATTCGTTTAAAAACTGTTATACAATCAAAAACATTGTTTTATTTTATCCTATGTATCAACTAGATAGAATTCATGGCTTAATGATATGAAACCATTTATTTAACATCGGAATCTAACATAATATATGGGGAATGGGGGAATGGGCGTATACATACCTGCAGCACCTTTCCAGAGATGTACCGCTGGCAGTAGGCGCAGCGCACGCCGTAGAGGCGCTGGTAGTCGCGCTCGCAGTAGGGCACGCCGGCGCGGCCCATGTACTCGCCCTGCAGCACGGCGCCGCACTCGCCGCACGCGAAGCACCAGGTGTGCCACTGCCGCTCCAGCGCCACCAGCGCCTGGCCCTCCGATAGCTCCTGCCCGCACCCCGCGCACTCTGCGAACACGAGGATTCCTTACATCAGAGTCTTTACCTCCTGACCGATTTTAGGCCACGACGTCTAATCTCACTAAGACTAGCCAGATGCGCAGGAGATATTATAGTGCACAAGTGTACGTGCAGACACAACGTGAACTCTCTATTTCTTTTAAGTCCGATGGGACGATACTTCGACACGACCGGTAAGAGTTAAGGCGCATTAGACTACCGAGACAGTTATATGTACCTACCTATGTCTGAGCAGTGGACGACATAATAACATATTAGCTGGACATAAAAGGTTCTTACAGTAGGTTAAAAATACCAATTTCGTGGCGAATATTCTTGGTGTTTAAAGCGCCATCTCGTGGCAAGTTACAGGTACACCCGGCAACCCTAAATCCGCATCCCCAATGTCATACAAAAGTACGACAGTCGAACGTTTGCGTCTCGCGTCATCACGCTCCCTACGCGATTGTCATAATATTGTCTAGAGGTCTTCGTGATACGACTGGATTGGTTGACTGTGATATTGACGAGATTAACATACCCTCAAACCGTATTTACATATAAACATTGTATTAACAATAATACATTTTGTTTAAAGACTGCGTAAAAGACAAGTAGGTAGGTATGTTTCTTGCAATTTTAAGTCGTATTAGGTTAATAACAATCCGCATAAATTTACAAAAACAGCTTCATAACAATCATGTGATTCTCACATAATGACTTCGACCCTGAACTTGGGAGGAGTTGAGACATCAAAGCTGTAACATCCGCGACTTTGCCGCAATAAACCGACAGGCTTGTGTCGTAAGCGGTACAAGAAATTACGTAAAAACTTTCTGGGATTGTACATTAAAACTCATTTAACGTTTAAACGCTATTAAAGGCAAAGTACGTTAAAATGTCACTAAAATATACCATTAAAATATTTATGCATTTAAAATGAAATTTAGTTTAAGAGGATGAATTAGCCCTTATATGCAGTTCTGGAACAAATATCATATACAACACAAGGCATCTGTCAAGAGATCTCTCTATTACCACAAAAACGTAAACTGAACATAAATCCACTGTACCAAATCGCGCATTCCCCCACTCTTAGACGATCAATCAAATAAACATTGCTAAATTAAGATAACATTTAACATTACGTAACAAATAAGTATATCGGTGTTGCTTTGGTCCAAATTAACAGAGCGTCGCAAATAGAATACGAAAATGATATGCTTATATAAAAACGCGCATTAAATACGATGATGTGCAAACATCGTGCGAAGTGATTCCGACTGCTATTACCGTACTCATTTTGTTACTGAGACGACGCGACGACGCTTGCACGACTCTTACTTGTAATATCGCAACAACTCGTGACGATTGCAAAATTAAATACCTTTATTTCCTATCTCGGACACTACAATATAACGCAAAGTGATCTGAAAGAGAATAACAAATCCTTTATGTATAGCTGGAGCGATATTAAAATTACACAGTTTTATACATTAATATATAGGTACTCTGTTTGCTATTATATATGTATTTTGTGCAAAAAATAATAACGTATTTTTTAAACTTAATATTAAAGGTTATCAAGTGTAGATTACGTACCTAAATATGTACTTTTAAATTAATTCATTATCGAATATGATTTTCCATAAAGTCTGCTCATGTAATAACTATACTTTCAAGAAAAGAATATTGCGAAAAATATACAAAAAATTCAGATAAAGTTATATATATATATATATATATATATATATATATATATATATATACCTTATCAGAATATTTTGTAAAAAGGATATTTAACTGAAGAAATCGTCCTTCTCCGATTTTATCTAAAACGTTTGTAAATACTGGTATGTACCTAATCGTGACGCCACCGGGGCCTAGGTAGGTACATTAAAGCCGAGTGAAATTATTAGACTTGACATGTAAGGCCTAATCTTTTAATATCGGGGTTCTGCGAGGGTCGCTCGGGCCGCGGACGAACGTACATTACTTCACACTCGATTGAACTAATGTGGGGTGGAAATTAAAACCATGCAAGTAGAAAATTTTACTGTTTACTCTTTGGAAAGGGTCGAAAACAATTATCTTGCTTTTGCCATATTCGTCAAATTAAAAATTAGTAATACTATACTTTTCTTTTGTGTTCCATGGAAAATGGACATGTTTGATGGCTATCTCTTTTTAAATGTTCACTTTTATAAAATCTCACTACTAGAACTACTCTACGAACTAGAAATTCTCCCAATATTTCTACAAGCTTTAGAATTTAAAAATAAGACGTTTTACAATTATGTATAATAATATCCATCAACAGTGTGTGTATGTTCTAGTTGGCTCGTCAAAGCGATTTATCCGATCATCGGCCGATCCTCGGTGACATTATCAAGGCGGAAAAGGAAACAACACTACTCGTCCAACAACTCGTATCACCGGGCATGGGCATGGCATGGGCTTCGCACCACCTTCTTCAACACGTCAGTCTACCGTGCCGCTCGGCTTCATTGGCCTCTATACGCCTGGAGATGTGACCAGCTCATTTCGATTCAGCGATTTCCACTTCAGCGAGCTAATTCTAAGCGCGATGTCGGTGACTTTAGTTCTCTGGCGAATGTCCTCATTTCGTGTTCTATCTGCCAGAGAAACCGCAAGCATCGCGCGTTCCATTGCTCGCTAAGCGGAAAGCGGAAAAGAATTGCTCAGACTGTTTAGCATCTCTTCCAAATCCTGCAGAGTTTCTGCCATGATCACACTATCGCAGATGTGTATTGGTCATTGATATTAATGCCGCGTCCGTTCCAATCGAGTGTCCCGAAAGTTTTAGGAAGATTACATCCTCCTGTTACTCCACGATGCAGTTGGATTTATCTTGTGCTTTTTACTAAATGAATATGAAATTATATGCGTAACTTATAAAAAAGAATCATTTTTTGTATCACATAAATTGTTGTCTGTTTGTTTCGGCACATTTCCGAAACGGCAAGACTGATTTTAACGGTACTTATTTAAGAAAAAGAATAAGGGTTCCGCTCAAAAAAACGAAAACCTACCTTGGCACGCACCCGAGCGGAGCAAAGGTAAGTCCTAGTATGACAAAAACCACTGGGAGCCTTATAAGAAAACCCGAAACCACATCGAAAATATAATGCTCACCGTTAGGGTCGGGCTGGCGCGACGGGCGCGGCGCGGGCGGCGCGGGTGACGCGGGCGACGCGGACGCGGGCGTGGCGGGCGGCGACGGCGACGCAGGCGTGGCGGGCGAGCGCCCCGCGCGCGCCGTGTGCTTCTGCGGCACGCTGGTGCACGCCGCGCACACCACCTCGCTGCCCGTGTACGTCACCTTCTCGCCCGACGGAAACGCGCGTCTGCCGGACACACGGCCAAACATATACTCTACCACTGGGAACATATACTTACATACGCGTTTAAAACTAGTATTAAAAGAACCATGATATACAGTAAGCAATCTAGCAAAGTCAAGTTTTAATTCAATTATAATTAGGACTAAGATAAACTGACCCACACTAATGCGCAAGTTAGTTTTATAATGTAAAGATTAAAAACAGATTGTTTTTCATCGTTTCGTCGAATTTTGACAGTCAAACATAATAAGGAAACTCAAGATTTTTTATAGATTTAATTTACAATATTAGCTTAGATATGTATAGGTACATAATATAGATACGCAAACACACAAATGTAGAAAAATGGTAATAATTGATTTTTTTTCATTCATTCATTAAAAAAATATCATTTTAAAAATCTTACATGGAACGTATAACGTAAACTATAAAAAACGATTAAATATGTTTTGGTAAAATAAAAAACGAGTAGCTACTCAATCGTTCCACGACATACATTCTGATAGTTGTAAGCTGTACGCACTAGTATGTATAGAACAACAATTTATTGATTAATGACAACATCGACCAGTACACTCACTTGCATCTCGCACAAGTGAAGCACTTCTGGTGGTAAGTGTTGCCGAGCGCGGATACCACCTCGCCCTCCACGTACTGGTTGCACGCCGCGCAGCGCGTGCCGAATGCGCGCTGATAGTCCTGCAGACACAACATGCCAGTCATATTAAACAAATATTGTACATTAAAGATTTACCCTTACTGCGTTCAGGTGTATCCCTAACGCAGGTGCCTAACGCAGCCATGTGTTATCCACGTCATAGTCTATCTGTATACTAAATTTCATCCAAATTCTTCCAGCCGTTACAGCGTGAAGAAGTGACAAACATACACATACATACACCCATAAAAACTTTTGCACATATCCGTCCATCCGTTTCTGTAAAGAGCACTAAAATACTGCTAACACCATAAATTAAAATAATACTAAAGTACTGCTATCACCAATATTGTAACTTGATATATACCAGATTAATAATTATGAGCAAAACTAACTAACTATGACAACCGCAAAAACTAAAGCAGATATCAATGTCAGTTGGTTCGTCAGTTCGTAATTAAAATAGCAGATGTGAGACCTGGGCCGCGTGTTTTTAGGACTGCAAATATTAGGTATTTATAGTTGTACTTGCATGTTTTTCTTACAAAGTTAATAAATAATTGTCTTTGCAGGCCACACGATGTGCCGGATGCTTACCTGCGGACAATAGTAGTGGCCGTCCTTACAGAAGAAGCCGCCGCGCGCGAGGGACGCGGCGCACGTGCGGCACGTGAAGCACGCCATGTGGAAGTACTTGTCCGACACGCGCAGCACCTCGCCGCTGCACTTGCCGCCGCACGCGCCGCATACCACCTTGCCTGCAAGCAATGCGAAACGTTAGCATCTGGCCGACATTTCTAGGTTTTCCTATTAAAATATCTTCCTACATTTTACTACTTGATAAAAATGACCATTGCGTATCTTAATTTCAGGCAACTGCACTGATAAGTAAAACATTCGAGCAAAATTTGGTAGAATAAACATTAAAAATAATAGTCAATCATTCTCATTTTTATTAGTATAGTATCTAACAGAAGTTACACAAATAGGCCCCGTCGGAACGTCATACGGCAGCACGTGCCCTGCCGCGGCAAACCCGCTTTAACGGATAATTCGATTAATTGAAACTTGGCCGGCCCAGCCGCTGCGCGCGCGCCGCCCTGCGTCCTACATGAGCTTCAGTATTTGATTAGCCTGTATTCGTAGTGCGTACCGCAAACGTACCGCGGAAACGTTTTCGACATTTATTAAAACAAATTGTGCGTACAATTTATTTATACACACGCACCACTGCGCGCACGCTCTAAACTGGGTTGATGCTATGGCATTCAGGAAGAAATTATGGTAGTTATTGAACTCATGCTTACAATGTCACAAAAATCGCTCGTCTTAATACTTGAGGTATATTTACTTTTATCATTGAATTTATTTTTTAAACATTATTGTTTTTTCTTAGTATGATAGAAAGATCAACAATCGTGATAGACGCGTGATAGCTGGTTGTTAGGGCCTATTATCCAAAAATAAATGCGGTAACAAATCAATGACCAAGATAAACGAACTATTCTAGATAGGGTTGCCAAAGATACTTTCTTATGAAAAAAGGCTGAGTAATTGATGGCTATAAATTTCATAAATGAATAATTAAAGTTGTATTATACAGTGCCTTCTTGTGGGCGGGAAACATTGGCTTATTGATTTTCATTATAATAAGAAGATAATAACAGATAACTTTCCCTACATCTAGGCCACATATCTCATGATTTTATATCGGTCGGTCAATAACAGTACCTACCTCATTTATGAACTAAATTATTCGAAAGTCATTGCAAGGATAGAAGCCCTACCGAGTCAAACATCTTAGAAAATCGTGCGGCGCTTGTCCCGCTACTCACGAGGACGCGACGGTCACGACCGCGCGCAATACTTGTACTACACGCCGACTGGCACAGGCCACTGCCGCTAGGACATTAAAGGCATTACAAGTAGAAATATGTTCCAAGAAACAAACAGGCAACATTTTTTAGGGATCTTATTTACGTAGTTTTAGATTATAATTTACAACGATTCATTTACAGTACATTCGTGGAACAAACATGACAACAGTAAAATGGGGTTTTATTGCGAAAATCAAAGTGGTAATAAGTTTATGTATCGTTACATTACATATTAGCAGTGAGCCGTAGAGTTCAACGGCTGCTTTGTGCATCTTTGCGTTGTTGCATCTATGAATTAAGATACTCAATATTTAAATATTTATAAAATTAACGAATTGTGGCTAATTCGTTCATGATTTATAATTGTGTTATGTAGTGGAGAATAGCTCTATCCAATATCCACTAACCTAGCGGCGTGTATCTCATCATTCATTATATCTACAGCAACACAACTAATATACATACAATATACATACCTACATATGTTATTATGTACCTAACCAGAATCATTCTGCGGTTTCGAATCATCACGGGCTTCACGTAAGCGTAACTGAATAGGTAAGTCTTCTACATCAATTTCTATTTAGAACATGTAGATAGTTATTGTTGATTTGAGTAAACATCATAAAAACTATAATAATATGAAGCATTTCTAAATAATAAAATGTACGCATATATGTATGTATACGAGTGTCGAGTGCCTTACCAATTACTGCATACTATGCATTTATTGTAATGACATTTTTACTTTCCGAAAACTTTGGCGGCTTCTGTATCTCTGGACACATGCATCGAACATTACGACGCGGCTTGAGTCAAAGAAGCGGCACGTCAGTGATCACAATGATAGCGATCAGCGCCCACGTGCTGTTTTAACAGTTTAATTACATACGAGATGTTCGCATTTTGTTGTAATCTCAGCTCCTTGAGAAGCAAATTTCTGGCTTTAAAAATTACCGCATATTAAAACTATTATTTTCCTCAAAAATAAAAGTTTCACATTCTTTTTCTCGTTTTTAGAGGTTATTTAAAAAGGTACTTGTGATAATTGGGGTCGTGTAGGCGATTTAAATAGAACGTGTATCATTGTGGTTTTAAAAACTTAAATATTTACAACTTTCCTTAACCGCAAACAACCCTAAATTGGCAATCCACTTAAATATCCACTGAGGGTAAAAAATATTGCTAGTATTACTTATAGCAATTATAATATCAGAAAACTTGAGCTAGATCAGGAAATTCAAAGCTCACACAACAATACTTTAATATTAAGGCTATCAATAGCGTAACAGGCTAACAGCGTTCTAAAAGGTAACGTACATCTGAATACTCTATGACTATGCATAATTTAAAAAAAAAGTTAATTAGAGACCAGTTAATCTAGCCATATTTTAAAGACTTCTTTTTCTTATTTGCGAATCGTGACTCACTCGTGCAACAAGACAGACTGGTTTTTATGTGTTGTTTTTGCCGGCTCCTGATGCTCAAAACTACGTGATCGATGGTTCGATAGCGATATTATGATTTAATACCGTTTAATGGCATATCGAATGTTTCGGATTTGCTTCTCACAGTAAAATTTATTACTATCGGTATAAGTACATAATATGTAGCTATGCATGCCGTACATTTCTCTTGTGATACAACGACCATCACTCACGATTATACACGACTATATCTGATTGAGACGATAAATCGGATGGTTAGCTGTTAGAGGCCTTTCATTTTGATATTTTCAAATTTGTATATTGACTTTGTACCTAATAAAAAGGCACTATTTTGACGAGACCATTAAAATTGTGTCACTTGAACAGGTCTATTCGTATATATCGAGACACGGAGAGGCGCGAGAGAGAGAGAGGCAGGCGTACGCGCGGCACGTTGCTGGAATTCCAGTTGGCGCGCGGCCAACAGCGCCGCTATATTTAGAGCATTCCGTCTGCGGCGGAGACTCCGGGATCCCCTTTATGTGCATGATTTAGATAAAACTCATATCCTCCGCCGTGGACATATGTTACTGTGCTTTACGATTTATACATTAAAAACATCGTAGCGTCGAGCTTTTACTAATGTTGTTTTGGGACCATTAAGTGTTCTATTTATCCTCTAAGCTATCTCGTCACGCGCCGACACTACGAGTATATTAACTACTAGCGGCTCACCCTCGCTTCGCTCGGGTTCACCTCTAGAATAGCACAAACAGATCTATCCCACGGGAACCGTTCATTTTTCCGGGATGAAAAGTAACCTGTTATTTGACCGGCAGTATAAGGTATCAGCATGCCAAATTTTACGAAATTAGGTGCGTAAGTTGTTGTGTACTAAGCTGTATAAATTACTATAGTTTTTTAACTATCCCACGGAAACTCTTTAATTTTCTGGAATGAAAAGTATCTTAGATGTTGACCGGGGATATAAGGTACTACCATACAAAATTTAATTTAAACCGGTTCAATAGTTTCGGAGATTAGCCCGTACAAACAGACAAACAGAAGAGAAATAACCTCTACAGTTTTATTATATGTATAGATAGAATAGAATAAATAACGTATAATAAAACAGTAATGTATAATAATGAAAATAGTTATAGCGAGTGTACCTTAGGAGAAAGACATATACTATGTAGAACTTTTCTATAGACCTTTTTAGGACTTACAATTTTCTTGCACAATGTTTTGATCTATCTCTTAAGGTTGAGCCAACGTTAGCCATATAAATTTCTTGCCCTTGCTTTGATAGAACCAGTTATTGTGTTTTCGAGTAATCAATAATTTGCCTGTCGTAAAAGGTATCCTAAATGTTGACCCGAGTACTAAGTTTTATCACTACAAAATTTAGTTAAAATCGGTTGAGTACTTTTTGCGTGAAACGCGCACATCGATTTGACTAAGTTAGTTTTATTATACGTATAGATAAGAATAAATATTGCGAGTGTAACTTAGAAGATAGACATATACAATTCAGAACTTTTCTGTAGTACTTTTCAAGACCTACAATTTTGGTTGTATATTGTTTTAATGTATGTATGTCTTAAGGCTTAGCCAGCGGAAGGTTTCTAAGGAGGACTCTATAACCAGTTATTGTATTTTCCCTTGGGAAAGAAAGATTTTCTTGAAGTAAAAGGTATCTAGGCAGTGGTATCCCAGTGGTAACGCGCTCGCTTGGGAAACCGAGTGAAGCAAGTTCAAATCCCGGGTCTCGCACCTCTGATATTTTCATGTGCGAATCATTTCTAACACAATTACCACTTGTCTTAACGGTGAAGTAAAACATCGTGAGGAAACCTGCATGCCTGAGAGAACCCAGCAAGTTTTCAAAAGACATGTGAAGTCCGCCAACCTGCACTTGGCCAGCGTGGTGGACTATGGCCTGATCCCCCTCGTACTGAAGGGAGGCCCGTGCCCAGCAGTGGGACGTTAAAAAGGGCTGAATACATACATACATACATACATACATAAATACATACATAAATACATACAAAAGGTATCCTAAATGTTGACTCGAGTAATAAGTTATCACCAAATTTCGTTGAAATCGGTACATTACTTTTCGCGTGAAACGCTCACGCAAAAACAGACAAACAGACATACAGGCAAACAGACAAACAGACAGCTTTTTAATAACTATTGTTTTGGGGTTTATGTTGTGTACATAATACGTTACAAATAAACAAAAACATCTATCCCACGGGAACAGTACATTTTTCCGGGATAAAAAGTAACCTTATTCTGATGTATGAACTATATATATTATTGTAAAGTTTCATCAAAATCCAATCAGTAGTTTTTGTGTATTAAGCTGTATAAGTTACTATAGTTTTATGGCTATCCCACGGAAACTTTTTAATTTTCCGGGATGAAAAGTAGCTGATTTGTTTTAGTCATGTATGAACTATATTATTGTAAGGTTTCATTAAAATCCAATCAGTAGTTTTTGTGTACTAAGCTGTATAAGTTGTTATAGTTTTTTAACTATCCCACGGGAACTCTTTAATTTTCCGGGATGAAAAGTATCTAAGATGTTGCACGGGGATATAAGGTACCACCATGCAAAATTTTATTTAAATCGGTCCAATAGATTCGGAGATTAGCCCGTACAAACAGGAAAACAGATAAACAGCTCGCTCGGGTTCGTCCATACCTACGAATATGTTGTATTATCTCTTTAACCATTTGTCCAAATTATATGCAGTAAGAGGGAAAAGTCTTTTATTTTAAACATTTTAGACGATAAATTTACTTATTTTGATAAGAATTCATAATTGTTGATAATATGACCAATAAACATGACCTACCGATTTAAATTATTTTTTTAATATAAAAAACTACTTTTTGTGACTTAAATATAAAAGTTAGACATATGCTGTCGCTGACTTTTTTGTAGGCATTATTAAGCTCTACAACTTTTCTCTAGAACATAATCATATATCTCTCACCGTTAATGCAGCGTTCGTAAGAAACCTTTTCGTTCGACCGTTTTTTCTCCGACTTACTTTGCAAATCCGACTACCACGAAAAAGCCTTTTCATTCATCGCGTTAATATATAGCCTATGACACTCAGAAAGAACGTGGCTTTCTATTGGTAAAAGAATTTTGAAAATCGGTTCAGTAGATCCAGAGATTACCCCCTACAACGTCACAAACTCACAAACTCACAAACTCACAAACCCACAAACTCACAAACTCACAAGATCACAAACTTTACCTCTTTATAATATTAGTATAGACAATCTTTTTTAAGAACTCCATTATCGTCATATTTTTATTTTTTATACTATTCTTGATAAGTATGTTAATTTACTGAATATTTGAATACTGATATTGTTATAATGACCATCCAAGGCAATTTTTTTGGATGTTTCTGTTTCATAGCAATCTGTTCTAGGAACAATAAATTCACTTTCTTGGTTGATAAATATCTGTTTTAAATGTAATTTTAATCTACGAAAGCCATAAACTGTTGAAAAGTTTCTTTCCATCAAACTCTGTCTTTGTCTTATTGTGGGAATTTTTGGTGAGATAAGGGATGTCATGTCTCTTTAGCCGAGTATGTCGGAGTCCAGCTTTTCCGCTCAGAGTCTGG